GCCGGGTAAACAGAGGCAGCTTGTGCATGGTGGTGGATTTCCGAGCAAAGCCGAGCATGCATGCATTGGACCCTCTTCCCGAGGCTATTTTACCGCTTTATTAGCTTAGTTAATTTGCTTAACTAGTTAAGTGGTCTGTAACTATTTAATTAGCTTGTTAGTTAGTTAGTTAAATTTGTATTATTCTTTCGGTCCCTCCGAGAGAGGGTGAATTGTGTAATAACCATGCGTGTGTGTGATGCATGTCTTCTAACCCCCACTTCTTTCTCCCTTTTACTTACCTGCTTTGATGGTTAGTATTAGGGCATATTTTAATTAGCATCCTTATGCTCTGTATGTACGCATTCATTCATCAGTATTGCATGCACCGGGCTCGGCGCATCATACTAACTACATAGTATTTAAAATCTAACTTGAATACATATTATCTGTTGCATTTCACATGCCATCCATAGATTAGCCGAGCCTATTCTAGCTGCATTTTTCCTGTGATGCATTAGCCATCTTAACATGGACTTGGATCATACATTTGATTACTAACATGTTCCTTGATTTGGCTTGGAGTACTAGGTGAGTGTTTATGCTTTAGCATCTCGTATGAGTGTGAATGTTAACATGAAAGCCTGCTTGCCATGAGGCTACTTGCTTAGTTGATTTACTGCCTGAATGCCTGTGGGTGAAGGTTGGATTGTTTGAATTGGAATGATTCATTGAAATCCGTACTTTAGCCTACTTGCGAGTAACAAACCTCAAACAATTTCCAAACAACGGATATGCGATGCTTTGTTCCAAATTAGGCGATCTAGTCTATACTTTTGTGTTGTGCGCATCACATAGTAAGATTAGCTAATTAATCGGACTAAGAATGCATAATGTTTTCAAAACTAGATATCATGGTTAGTAGAGGCCGATCTTTGATCGGGCGAGCGGGGGTGCTCATAGCTGACCTTCCCCAATCGTACCCAAGTTCCCGAGCCGAGGCAACTTTGGTGATGACGGATACGTGGCCTTAGGCAACGAGTCAGGGTTTCCTAAATTCCCCCAAAATAAATATTTAGGTGGCGACTCTGTATCTGGCAAAGCAGTCCATGTTTGGCACTTCTTTCTAAAAATCAGTTTTTCAAAATGATTTGCCGGATTTGGATTCTTTGATGATTCATCAGTCTTGCATTGCACTCTGCGAGATTAGATACAGGACCGTGACTATTTGAGTCTGAACTGTAGCATGAGGCCCACAGGGCGTGTCTACAATAGTCCAAAACAGTTATATCTAAACAGATAAATAAATCTATCACACAGATAAACTACCACATTTTCCATAGGTGAGTGATTTACCAATCCAACTACACCGTTTAATCATAATTTCCTTGAATTTCACAATTTCTAAACCAATTTCATATTTCCACAATTTACCTCATTAATTATACAAATGATTTATTCAATACAAATTAGGGTATTAATCTCCTTTTCCCAACTATTGCCCTCAAGGCCAAATTTCATCAATTATACACAAATAATTCTCGTTTCAAGACCTCATATACTCACTGGAACCTAAAATTAGAAAACCCCTCTTTTGTAAATTCAAAATCAAACCCCAACTTTATCCACATTTCCCAAATCTCAACATTTATACAAAATGACCAATATCTAGGTTAAAACTCATAAAAATGAGTAGTTTATCCCTACCTCAAGTGGAGAGACTCAATGAAGAAGAAGAGTGAAACCCAAGATGCTCCAAATCCACAAATTTTTGGATCAAAGGAAAGCCCAAGCCAAGCTCTAACTTTCTTATAAACGGATTAGGGTAGGAAACTCCTAGAACATAGAGTATTTGTAGATAGAGAGAGTGTTTAGAGAGAGAGGCTGCCGGATCTAGGGTTTGAGATGAAAAGAAGATCAAAAAGTGAAATATAAACCCGCTGCTGTGAACTGATATACACAGGGCTCGCTCGAGCGAAGGAGTGGTCGCTCGAGCGACCAGACACAAACGGACCTCGCTCGAGCGAAAAACGAGAAGCTTCAAGTCTGCAACCCAGAAGCACGCTCGAGCGCAAGAGTTCTCGCTCGAGCGAAGAAACACAAAACATAGAGCTCGCTCACTCGAGCGAAGGAAAGCTCGCTCGAGCAAAGATTACCAATCTTCAGGTCCAATCTAGACGCAGATGCACGCTCGAGCGTAAAAGTGCTCGCTTGAGCCAAGAGACACATCAAAGAAAGCTCGCTTGAGCGAAGAAGCAAAAACCCAAGGCTCGCTTGAGCGCAAAAAGCCTCGCTCGAGCGAAGATGCCAAATTCTGGACAGCAACCATTTGTTCCAACACCCAACCAACCTGTTCCAAACTTTCCCAACACATCCCACAACTCAAATACAAAGAATTAAAGGATGGAAACAAGATATAGATAACAACCAACCACTACAGAACCTAAGTCCGGAACACAATATATGACGGGAAAAACCAGGATCGCTATAATGTTGATATTTAGTGTTGATTGTCATTATGTTTTGGTAGTTCCCATGCATCAAGATGTTAACTGTCATTATATTCATATTAATTTGAAATGAATTTTTGTCATTGTGTTGTCAATTACATGATGTGAGTATTCACATCATGTAATTGAAATGAATATTCACATCATTATATTCACGTTAATTTGAAATGAATTTTTGTCATTGTGTTCTCAATTACATGATATGAATATTCATATTAAAACATACAAATGTAAACGTTCACATCACTATATTATATGAAAGAGAATATTCATATGTTGTGAACATTCACATCACGACATATTGTGAATAAGAATGCGTTGTCAATTAAAAATATAATGAACGTTGTTTTTAATGTGTTGTCAATTAATAATAAGAAGGTTCACATGTTGTAAATGTTCACATGAGAGAGAATTTTTCAAAAATGAGTTGTGAACATTCACATCAGATGAGAGAGAGTGTTCATATTATTTTTAATGTGTTGTCAATTAAAAATATATTCACATTATATAATAATATAAAATAATAACATCATTGTTATTTAATTTGTGTATGAAATTTTCTATGCCTTAGTCATTTCCCTTCTCTCTCCTCCCCCAACATTAAATATCAACATTAAATATTAATATTAAATATAAGGGCATAAGAGTTTACGAAAATAGTGTAAATCAAGAAAAATGACTTTATGGAATAAAAGTATAAATACATGGGACTAAGTGAGATAAAAAAATTCCTTCATAGACTTATCGAGTTAGAACACTTCTAAATGAGATTTATCAATAAAAAATTCTATTTCTAAAGATAAATATAATTTGATCATATAATTATAAATATTCGATCAACCTGATTTTTGTATAAATAATTTATTCAATAAATTTACAAGATGAACTTTTTAGATCTTCTAACTGGGACTTAAGGTGGGCCAATGTCAGGGTCTACCAAGCCCAACAGCCTTCTTAAGAGAATATCTTTTTATAGGAGTTTTATTTTGGGTTTTTTACTGGCCAGTCCTACTTTTTATAGTTATTCCTTTCTTAATCCTGATTATTGATGTTGTGCACCAATAGGTCCTAGAGTCTTTTTTTTGTCCCTGTTTTACCCCTATTTTGTTTTCCTCTGTTTTGGCACGTTTCTATTTGATTTTTGCAATCAAAATACTGTAATGTGAGTTTGGGTTTGGGTTTGTGATTTGGATTTCTGTAGAACTTCGCGATTTTTTAATGCATTATTGTGGAGCTTCGTGATTTGTGATTTCGCGCTTGGTGTATATTTGGATTTTGCGATTTGCGATCTCATGGAGGGAGCTCAATTTGTGATTTGTTTTTTATAAATCTGTGAATCTTTGTGTTTTGTGATTTCGCATTTGGTGTATAGTTAGATTTTGTGATTTGCGATTTTGTGGATGGTGCTCAACTGGTATGTTTGATTTTGATTTCAATTTCGATGTTTTGGTGTTTTTTAATTTGAGTTTGTGATTTTGATTTTGTTTATGATATTGTTGTTATTCTGTTGTTTCTGCGATTGAATTTGTATTTTTATCATGATATTGAAAGCTTTGAGATATGTATATGTAATGACTACTAGATTTTTTATTTTTTTGGTTACGAAATTGTTTTGGTTGAACACAGGTGTTCGTTTGTGATTTTCTACAGTGATAATTTTATCACTGAGTTGTTTGGGGATATCGTTGGATTAACTTTTTCAACACTGATAAATTTATCAGTGAGTATAGGAATAGGAGATGAAAAAGTTGCATAATATAATGGTAAGATCCAAATCGAGTTATCATGCCCAATAAGTGTAAGCCTTATTCACTGTTCATGCTCTTGGTCTTAGGTAGTGTTAATTGTTAAATTTATCACTGTTGGTTTTTGGATGTGTTTGAGTTGGTTAATAATTCTATCACTGTATTAGATTTTGCTTTAGGTTATTTGAGTTGTTTGCTAAAATATAATTGTTGTTTGTTGCAAGATTTATAGTGATGAAAAATTCTTTGTTTCTTATGTGCAAATTTAGAGGTGTGACATTGGTTATCAAGTATAATGATGAATTTAGTTTCAAGAATTTAGTATATAAATTGTGTGCAAAGTGGAGTTGTTAGTTGGTAGTTCTTTGAATATATCGTATTCAATGCCCGTACATTCTTATTATGGTCTACAAAGTGGAGAGGATTTGGAGGTTATGGTTGGACTCGCACTTTCTTGTAATATTCATCGTATTGATGTTTTTGTTAAGTGTTGTTCTTTGGGTGAAGGTTATATGATTTGTGATGGTGAAGCTGTAGTAGTAGTAGTGTTGTTTGTGAAACTGATTTTTTGCCTTCATTTTATTTAAATCAACGGAAACCTTTGCTCTCCAATAGATGGGTTAATTGTATAAAAGGAGTGGGTCAAAGGTTTGCTCAAGGAGTTGTGGAATTTCGAGGTGCGTTGTCAAAGTATTCTATTCATTCCGGTTTTGATTTTGATTTTGTTAAGAATGACAAGGATCATGTCACTATTCATTGTAAGAGAATGGCTGATTTGGGATGTTTACGGAGCATGCATGCTAGAGTGAAAAATTCTAGTAAAGCTTTTGTTATTAAACAATTTGATGATGTTCATACGTGTGGATCTTCTTTTCGTACAATTAAACATACTAGGATGACTTTGAGTATGATTGGTGGGCAAATTTTAAGTGAGGTTCGTAATAAGGCTTTGACATCGGTTAGTGAGGTGGTTTGTGATTTCAAGGACTATTACGGAATAGAAGTTTCTTATCAGCGAGCTTGGATGGGTGTTGAAAAAACAAGGGATGTTGTTTTTGGTGACTATTCATCTTCATTTGATGATCTTCATTGGTATGTTGATACCGCTAATGATTGTAATCCGGGGAGTGTTTTTGATATGGAATTTGATATTTATATTAAAGAAAGACATTTTAAATGCTTGTTTTTTGGCTTTGAGGCATATATTCATGGTTTTAAGTATTGTCGACCTGTGTTGATGCTTGATGAAACTTTCTTGAAAGGAAGACACAAAGGTTGTTTATTGGCTGCTACGGAAAAAGACAGTAACCAAGGTATATTCTGTGTCTATTTGTTATTATTATTAAAACAATGATAATTTTATCATTTTTGTTACTGGAGAGTGTTGATTATTGAGTATGGTCAATCAATTAGTGATAAATTTATGCTGTATACTTTTGTATGTTGTATACTTTTGTTAAATTTTTATATTTATATAGTGATAAATTTATTATGCATTGATTCTATATGTTGTATGTTTTTATTGAATTGTTGTAGTAATACAATGATAAAGTTATCTATGGTTGGTGCTATATGTTATATACTTTGCGTTTTGCTTTTGTTTTGCAATCTTTTTTATTTGTTACAAATAATGTGTATATATTTTGTTTGTAGGTTTATATCCATTATGTTTTGCCATTGTTGATAGTGAACGTTATGACAATTAGCATTGGTTCTTGTCAAAGTTATTTGTTATTTTGACTCCGGGAAGGGATATTACGTTTGTTACTGATCGACATGGAGGTTTACTGAAAGCTTTAGCTAAGGTCTTTTCGTTTTCTTCTCATTCTTTTTTTTCCAATGCATTTGAAAACAAACTTGAAGACTTATTTGTCAGTGAAGAGTCGCGAATCAAAAGAGTATTTGCTCACTCCTTTTAGTAGATGTGCATATGCTCCTACTATTGAGATGTTTAATGAGCGATTTGAAGAATTTAAGTGTCGTTGTGGTCATAATGTTCAGAAGTTTCTTGAGGATTTGCCTAATGAGTGTTGGTGTAACGCTTATTTTCAAGGCAAGAGGTGTAACGCCCTCACAATAATACATAATTCCCACATCCAATCCTTCCATATACATGATAGATAGTTTACATTGCCATACAAACATCAGAGTTAATGTTATAAAAGTGTATTTCATATTAATTACAAATGTTCACAAAAATAATAGAATGCCCTACAGGCTTACATCTTTCCAAGTTGCTACTTGGTCAATCAAAAGAAAAGTTCTAACTCTCTTACAGGTAAAGCTCTCGACTTGCATTTACCTATAATTAACAAAATAAATAACAAAGCAGAGTCTTCAACTCCGAAGACCTCCCAAGTAAAGATCTTGAACTTGGCACGTCTCCTGTACCTGAAAATGGTGTCCCAAACAGGGTGAGCCAAAGCCCGATAGGAATATGCTAAACCCAATATGAGAAATAACTAAAACATTATCACACAACAAATGATCGACACGTATAAACATTATCATACAACAAATGATCGACACGTATACACCAAATCACACCCTTCTCATAGCCCGACAACAATTACATCCATGCTACCATCCACTTCCCTTATTTATCCAGATCAGTTCCTAATTATGGTTCAATATCTAACCAAACAATTTAAGTGAGACTACCACTCGACTTGTTAACTCTTCCGTTATCCATGATTCAAAATGAGACTACATCTCACGTAACTAATGCTTCACTTTATAAGGTCTCGGGACTTTCACTCGGACACCTCGGCCAACTTAATTATCTGTGGAGTACATTCCCCAACTCCTCTCAAATAATGATACAATACAATGAATTTTAACATATAACCACCTATGGAGTGCATCCCCTATCTTCTCCCAAACATAGATGCACAAGCAATTTGTTAAAGTATATGAACACACGTGTGAAATACATAAATAATGTGTTAAAGTATATGAACACATATGGAGTACATCCCCCATCTCCTCCCAAACAAGTTACATATATAATGTGTTAAAGTATATGAATGCATGTGTGTGTGGAGTACATACCCTATCTCCTCTCACACACTAGAGTACATCCCCTATCTCCTCCCAAATAAAGATACATATATAATGTATTTAAGCACTTCATCACATACCCTGATCAATCAATACACATATTTGCTGTATTATTCCAACCATCACATTCAATGACATAACACGTTCGATTAGTTTCAGTTTTCCCTAATCAACATACAGTGTCTACAACAATCAAGACTATCCTCCACCGATAGCCCAAATCAGTTATCTCTAAACAGATAATAAATTTATCAACAGATAAAATATCGACAATCTCATAGGAGATGATTAAATTAGCCAACTACACCATTTACTCCCACAATTTCCCAATTTCATTATTCTCAACTCAATTTCACATTTTCCCAAATTAATTATTCAAATTAATTTATTACAAAAATTAGGGCATTCTTCATTTTTCTCAAATATTGATCCTAAGACAAAATTTCACCAATTTAACATTCAAACTCATATTTCTAAGGCCTTAAATACACATGGAGTTATTAAATACAAAATCCCTCTTTTATAAATTAAAAACCAAACCCTAACTTTCTCCAAAATTACCCAACAACACTAACTAATCAAAATGACAAATATTTAAGTCAAAACCCATAAGAAGGAGTAGGATATCCCTACCTCAAAGTTAGGAGCTCAAAGGAGATGAGGAGAAAAACCAAAGATGCTCCAAATGCGAGACTTTTCGGATCAAAGTGAAGCCCACCCCGAGCACAACCTTTCTTACAAAGGAAAACTAGGCTAGAAACACACTAAAAATAGATGAAATCCTAGAGAGAAGATGTAGAGAGAGAGAGAGAGGTCGGATCTAGGGTTTGAGTGAAAGAAGGGATGAAAAAGTGAAGTGTAATCCCGCTGCTGTCTACTGATATAACACAGGCTCACTCGAGCGAAGGATTGGTCGCTTGAGCGACCAGACACAAAGAACCCTCGCTCGAGCGAAGAAAGTCTCGCTCGAGCCAACAATTCAAAGCTTCAGGTCTGCAACCCAGAAGCACGCTCGAGCGAAGAAAATCTCGCTCGAGCGAAGAACTCCAAAACATAGTCCTCGCTCGCTCGAGCGAAGGAAAGCTCGCTCGAGCGAAGAATTACAACTCTCAGGTCTAAACCCAGACGCAGACGCACGCTCGAGCGAAGGACTTCTTGCTCGAGCTACCAGACACAACACCCAACTCTCGCTCGAGCGAAGGAACCCTAACTCGAGCGAAGGATCTAAAACAAGGGGCTCGCTCGAGCGACAAAAGCCTCGCTCGAGCGAAGAACCAAAATTCTGGGCAGCAACACTTGGTTTAAAAAACACTCACCCAACCTGTTACAAACCTGCCCAACACATCCTAAAACTCATATACAAAGAATCGAAGGACAGAAACAAGATACAACAACAACCAACACCCACGGGACCTAGTCCGGGTTACAATAATCAATGAAGGGAAAACCAGGATCGTTATAACCTCCCTCCTTTAAAGAATTTTTTCCCCGAAATTAGATACAAGTTTCAAAAATAAGTTTTTCTTAATTCTCAATAACATTTCCAAGTAATATTCCACAACCTGATCCATTATTGGTCATCCCATCTCTATTTAAGAGGCATTTCTCACAGTTTGCTACAACAAGCATTTCATCGAAATTCAACAAGTTTCTACATACATATTTCACAATTGCATATCATATTCAATGTTCATGATAGATTTCCCTTACTACAACACATCCAACATATACAATGTTAAATTAAACTTCCATTTCAAGGCATATGACATAATACTACCATAAACCGAAACAGTCACAATGTTTTATAACTGAAGACATATTCAATGTTCTTAAAGTTTATCAATACAACAAAATATTCAACATCCACTCAATTACCTACCAATAGATCCGGATACTTCTCTTGGACCTCTAATTCACCTTCCCAAGTGGCTTCCTCAACCCCGTTATGTATCTACAACATCTTAACTAATAGAAAAGTCCTGCTTCACAAGACTCGATAACGATAATAACAGTATGACACGTCCAACCACTACAGTGTTCTGAGACACCCACCACGTCTCGACTACTGACAATACCCAAACCAGTATTTAGTACTTAATACCCCAACATAGGAAACACGAAAATATTCGTACACAAGGCTTTCAGTCAACTTCCACAAAACATGAACGCAAGATGAAGCACGGGTAAAGAACAATATTATGGCACATTATTACACCAAAATTTCGAGGCCTTGCTAAAGACACACTACATGTAACCAACAACTCAGGCTGGGTCAAATCTAACTCCTTATACCGCCACCACTTAAACACGACATTCACAACTGGCCACAGTCAAACTCAAAGATTTTTCTGAAATTATTTTCCCGAAAATAGGGATCGCAAATTCACGTTTCGATTCGAAATCATTTTAGTTTATGAAGAGTACTTAATATCCCTCCAGTAAATCACAACATAACCATCCCACAAAACTCGTCATACTCACGGTGATGACGCAACACTCAAAAACAAAACTCTCCTAATAGAGACCCCTGAAAATTTGAAATTCCCAACAACGCAACAACACAAAGGATAACATTGCGCACCCTCGTGCCTTACACCACACAAACAAGGACCGAACAAGTCAAAACGACTTTAACAGAGTGCCTCACTCACTTTACACAATTTTGCTACCTCACTAGTGTTACCTCTATCCAAACTGGACGACAGACACTTATACCAAAGTGACCTAGCTTTACCAAACATCAAACCACTCGATTCAATCAGTAATCACACTATTGCCTTACCAAGGCATTCTCCTAGGATTCCCTAAGACTGATCCCCTTCTACACATCAATTAATAACAACCTACGGACCACACACTATCACGCTCCGTACTAAGCAAAACCTCCTCATTTAATGCAAGCTATCTTACACCCATACTGAGTCCCTCATCCAGAGCTTTCACTTGCCACCTCGACTGAACTCATAATAACAAAATTACATACTCATTTCCTCGTACCGAATTAGCTAGCAAGGGTTTACCACGCCACGACACTTATCATTACTACGTAGCTGTTCGTACCGAACATAAGCAAACATAACACCTTCCTCCTTTAATGACCTACAGGGTCCACTCTTTATTTCACTTTTTACTTGTCACTCGTCCCGAGAGTACAATCAAGACACTAAGCCTCCGTGCCAAACCACTAGCCATTGCTAGCGCTGGACAACCACCTAGAACCAGACCCTGACACAGTCGCATGTCGCCAACAAGGCTTTCAAAGACTCACCATCCTAGCTCTCTTGAAGAGTAAAGGTCCTCATCCTCCTCGCTATCATCCCAAGCCTCCCTCCGCAAACACTACACTACTGTGACTCTACTCACGGGTCACACCCAAACCACAGGTTATACGCCCAACCAATCTTACCGACAGCATCTCTTAGCCAACTCGGTATTAAGGTACAAACCTATCACATTCTACCATCACAAAGGAGTCTGGAAACTTAGGGAAATACCCATTATACCACTGCCCAAGATATAACACCAGCTGATTACAACACACCACTCCCCGATGCCAACAACCACAATCTTATATAGGGACTAACACTCCCTCAATTAAAACAACCAATCAGTACATATGCCAATTTGGCAACGTTACCTATCATGA